TTCGATAACTCTTTAACAGTCAATAATTTGTAATACATTACTGAAGTAAAAATGTTTATCTCAACAATCTACAACAGTATATAATGATTTTAAAGTCGTACATTACATAATTAGGGGCCACAAGGGGCCAGAAGGCAAAATCTTTGACGCTTTGTATCTCAAAAGTGAGAAATATTTTGATAAGTGATATTGAAGAAAAGAGATGTTCAAAATGATGTTCTGAACAATATGCAACCTTTCATTTTTCGCTAAACGTCCCCATTAGGGAGTTGAAGGGTTGGCCCCTAAATATTTCTTTTGCGAATAACTCGAAAACGAAAAAGAATCTCTGAATAGTTGTCGAACAAAAAGTGCTCAAAATCCTAAGAGCTTTAAGATGAAATCCAGAAAAAGGGGCTGGACACACAAATTAGGGGCCAAGAGGGGCTAAAAGTCTTTTTTCGATAACTCTTTAACAGTCAATAATTTGTAATACATTACTGAAGTAAAAATGTTTATCTCAACAATCTACAACAGTATATTATGATTTTAAAGTCGTATATTACATAATTAGGGGCCACAAGGGGCCAGAAGACAAAATCTTTGACGCTTTGTATCTCAAAAGTGAGAAATATTTTGATAAGTAATATTGAACAAAAGATGTTCAAAATGATGTTCTGAACAATATGCAACCTTTCATTTTTCGCTAAACGTCCCCATTAGGGAGTTGAAGGGTTGGCCCCTAAATATTTCTTTTGCGAATAACTCGAAAACGAAAAAGAATCTCTGAATAGTTGTTGAACGAAAAGTGTTCAAAATCCTGAGAGCTTTTAAATGTTATGAAGATAAAAGGACTGATCCCTAATGTTAGGGGCCGTGAGGGGCCAAAAGTCGATTTTAGAAGTCTTTTTTGTTCAATGTCATTTTACAGAATATGGAAGATCATTACTTAAGAATGAAAATCTCAATCAAAATCTCATCTCATTTCATCAAGAATCGAACGGAAGACCCACTCGTTGCTCGCAACGAGATCTCATCTAGTTCTTATTATTTTTCTTCTTCCTGGGAAAATTTTGTCCACGAGTGATCTTGTAAACTATACATCCGACTTAGGTGAAACCTTTTTAGGGTCAGTAGGCATGTTATGTAGAGTTGCCGAACGAAGGTCATTTTGCACGCACGTGCTTGCAAGAGCGCGCACGTGCAACACGTGAAATGACCAATATAATGGATATTGCCGTAACTTTTCTATTTTTTGATGAAATTTTTTGAAACTCATAATGTAAGGATACATTAGTAGTATAGACAAGATAGCATGGTCAAAATAGCAAGATCTAACGCGCATGCACGTGCGCTTCGCTCTGATTGGCTGAAACTAAAGTCTCAATATCTTTCTTGTTTCTTGTCATAATCCTTTGAAATTTTGAACATAGTCCTACATTATGAAGATCTACCGCATGATATATAAGAATTTTCATGAAAGCATGCGCATGTGCGCGTGCTGCAAGCTGATTGGCTGAAACTTTAAATGGCAATATCTCCTTTGTTTTTTGACGAAATTCTTTGAAATTTAAATTATAGTCATGCATTAGGATATCCTACAAAATGATATAGAAAAAAAAATCATGATATCACGCGCATGCACGTGTGCTGCAATCTGATTGGCTGAAACTTTAAATGGCTATTTCTCCTTTGTTTTTTGACGAAATTCTTTGAAATTTAAAATATAATTATGCATTAGGATATCCTACAAAATGATATTAAAATAAATCATAAAATCACGCGCATACACGTGTGCTGCAATCTGATTGGCTGAAACTTTAAATGGCTATAACTCCGGTCCCTTGTTTTTCAACCAAACAGGATGGGATTTAGAACATAGATAGATGTAAGGGACTCCTTCAAGAAGGTATGATCATCATGCACGTGCACGCACGTGCGTGCATTTGAAACGAGTATATTTAAAAATACACTTGAATGAGTGATTTTTATTACTTTTGGACTGAATGCTTTAATATATAGTATATTAAAATATATAAATAGTGTAGACAAGATAATATGGTCATAACGCACATGCATTCACATGAGCTTGGGTGCAATGCTAAAAATTGAATATAATTCGTATTCTTCTGGAAAAACGTTGTTAAAGTCAAAAATGCACAGAGTTTGTCTTATTTAATGAAACTTGCAGGGAATATGGCACCGAAAGGGAGTTGGGGAGCGTTTGGGGAACATCTGTAACGGTTCCCGTTACAATTAGCACTAGTTATTATTATTATTCCTGGGAAAATTTTGTCCTTGAGTGATCTTGTAAACTACACATCCGACTAAGGTAAAATGTTTTTAGGGTCAGTAGACATGTAATGTAGATTTGCCGAACAAAGGTCATTTTGCGCGCACGTGCTTGCAAGAGCGCGCACGTGCAACACGTGAAATGACCGATTTAATTGATATAGGCGTAACTTTTGTAATTTTTGATGAAATGCTTTGAAACTCATAATGTAAGGATGTATTAGTAATATAGACAAGATGACATGGTCAAAATAGCAAGATCTCACGCGCATGCACGTGCGCTTTGCTCTGATTGGCTGAAACTAAAGTCTCAATATCTTTCTTGTTTTTTGACAAAATCCTTTGAAATTTTGAACATAGCCATGCATTAGGGTATCCTACAACATGATATATAGAAATTATCATGAAAACACGTGCATGCACGTGTGCTGCAATCTGATTGGCTGAAACTTTAAATAGGTAAAACTCCCTCGGTTTTCAACCAAACAGGATGGGATTTGGAACATAGATATATAAAATAGACTTCTACAAGAAGATATGGTCCCCATGCACATGCATACACGTGCGTGTACTTGAGCTGCAATCTGATTGGCTGAAACTTTAAACAGCTATAACTTCCTTGGTTTTCAACCAAACAGGATGGGATTTAGAACATAGATAGATGTAATGGACTACTATAAGAAGGTATGGTCATCATGCACATGCGTACACATGCGTGTAAGTGCGCTGCAATCTGATTGGCTGAAACTTTAAACAGCTATAACTCCCTTGGTTTTCAACCAAACGGGATGGGATTTAGAACATAGATAGATGTAATGGACTTCTACAAGAAGGTATGGTCACCATGCTCATGTATGCACGTGCGTACACGTGAAATGAGCAAAATCAAAAATACACTTGAATGAGCGAATTTTTTTTAATACTTTTGGATTAAATACTTTGATATTTAGTATATTAATATATATATATATTGTGTAGACAAGATGATATGGTCATTAGGTACATGATTCACATGCGCACACATGCAATGCTGAAATTTGAATGAACATGGTACATTTCTGGGTAAACGTTGTTAAAGTCTCAAATGCATAGAGTTTGTGTTATTTAATGAAGCTTACAGGAAATATGGCACCAAAAGGGAGTTGGGGAGCGTTTGGGGAACATCTGTAACGGTCCCCGTTACAATTAGCACTAGTATTTCATTAATTTTGAAAAAGAAGTGACTTCATTCAATCGCTTCACTTTCTAAAACGTGACAAGCTATTGCCAGATAAGTTGATGAAACAAGAATATTCTAGTTAAAAAATTAAAACATTCTGCAAAATCTATGATGGATACAATGATCTTGTCATTAAACACAATCTAACATTAAGTCGCATGTTGCCTGAAATATGTGGAGATGACAAACTATATCAATCTCAAAGGTGCATTTAACATTACAAAAAAGGAGCAGGACACACACGGAACTTTAAAAAATCAGATGTTGGATCAGGTGCCATTGAGGAGTGAGTATTCCCTGCCGGCCGGTCAAACCCAATGTGTGCTCCTTCGTGATCGAGAAATAACGAAAACTGCGTGCATAAAAATTTGTTAGACCATTAATTCTACCGAATCTTAATTTTACGGATTTTTAGTTTGCACGATCATGATAAGTAGCAAACGGCGTATATGATTGTCGACATGTCAACTCTTCCAAGTAACATGATCCCGCTACAGATCTTTTTGGAGGTCTGTGTTTTGCCTGCTCCAAATTTGTTATGTTTTAATGGACTTTTGAGGTTGACACTGTTCGTTGATTTCATGAACAAGCGTTCTTTATCTCTTTTTGTTGTATGTTACTTCAAGTTATCTTACAAAATGATAAATCAATTTAATTAACAAGTCCTATTGTACAAAGAATTGTCCAACAGTATTCCATAATTTAAGAATTGATTATATGGTAATTTTATATCGATCGAGCTTATTGTATTGATGCTTAAAGAAAGAATTATCACTGATTTTAAACAATGCAATGTGTTTATTTTGTCAAGATGATTTTAGACTGAGAGTTCTCTTATCAATATTGTTGTTAACTAAAAAACCATGATTTACATGATTTATTCTTATACATATATATATCCCATGCATACATGGATCTTTATTTCTTAGAAAGCTAAGCATCTCAATCAAAAGTTTGTTTTTATGATAACATTTTGAACTGTAATTTGTATAAATGATTCACTTTCTTTTGAATTGTAAACAGTTTCGTTTTGAATTGAGAAACGACCTAATATTTACGAGGTACAAATAGTATTCAGTTAGTTTTTTTTTTTTTTAAAAATGAACATGATAAATATGCATGTGATAGTAAAACGTACACTGAGTAAAGAAATGACACAAGATCATCACATCTACAAAATGTTCCATACCATATAAACATAAATATAAATTAGTGTTTTAGATACTTTGAAATGGACAGAAATTAGAAGGTATTGAGGACGTAGTTTAAACAAGAATATAATTTTCTTCATAAGTAGAGATTAACAGAAAAAAGCAATTGAATGACAAAATGAAATGATTACAATACGTCTACTACTACTACTACTACTCAAATTTTAAAATACAAATGTTGAAAAACTAGTTGAATTAGAAATATTACTCACGTAAAGCATAATACTTCACTTTCGAAGAGTTTTGGAGCTTATGTTATTTAGTATTCAACCATTAAATCTATATTTTCTCTTTTTTAGATGATATATCAGCATTTAAACCAACAAAACAACAAGGTCTTCAAAGAACGGATTTGGCAGAGAACGCTGTAGACAGATCTTTATCCACATGTTCTTCTACATATTTATCTAATCCAGCATGGTGGTATGTGGATCTCCAGAAAGTCAAAAGTATTTATGACGTACAGATTTACTTCAGGCTTTATAATAAGAGCTATGGTAAGTACACTTTTAAGATTTCTGAAATAAAAATGTCTTTCTATTCTTTCCTTTACATCTCCATTGATCTCTTTAAAAAACAAACTAAAAACAAAACTAACAAACAAAACAAAATAATGAACTAAAATCTTTCTTCGAAGTCGTATTAGCATATGTCACCCATTCTGTTTTGTTATATAAAATACATGGAGATACCCAGCAGTATTCAACTCTGAAGGCCATTATTAAATACAAATTTAAGGCATTTAAATATTTTAAAGTCAAAATTATTAAGTCGAACAACCTTTAATTTTCGCCATTTTTGTATATTTCATACAGTACATAACAATATTTAGTACAGTAAAAGTCGGTTATAAACTCTAATATGAGCTTTTTTATCTAGAACGTAATCCTGTTGGCTGCCGAGCTACAAAATCTTTTATGTCAATCATTCTGACTGCAATGCATTGCATGTATTAAATTCAAACTTCTTCCCCTCATTGTTAAACAGAACAACGACAGAGAGAGCGTATGTATGGATACAAGCTCTATATCTCAAACAGTACAGACTTCAGTCTTTTACACGAGGCTTACTTGTGCTACAGTCATTCAGGATCGGAGTTACCCGATCTTAACGTCACTCATATATGTGTTTCATTCGGTCGGTATGTATTTTTCTATAACGAAAGAGGAGTCCCTGGTGTGACGTATCCAAACGGGGTCAATCAAAAAGAAACATACACACAGCTATGTGAAGTAATTGTACAAGGTAATATTCTTCTTTTTTTTCACGCACTTAAATTCTTATCATTCTATAAGCATCATTTGATTTGTTAAAAATAAAGCCTTTAAAGATGTATACCTTTAAAATCATTTAATTTTCAAAAAAAAATATTTATACATTATCTTATTGTGCTAAAGGTTGTACCAGAGATGATGCTTATGGACAACTCTGTAATGAAACCTGTCCCTCACACTGCCAAGAAAGAAGGTGTTACGTAACTAATGGGACTTGTGTTGGATGCATCGATGGCTGGATCGGGGAAAAATGCCTTGATGGTAAGATTAAGAAAGTCAAATTTTATAGTGATTTTGATTTCTTGTGTTTTAATTTTATCGCAAAATTTCAGACACATATAGATGATATCGAGAACATTCTAGTACTTCAAAATGATTTGCATAAGATGACGGAAATTTTTTAGCCCTCAAAAGTTTTTGGTTGTTATATTGATAGATTGGATAATTACAGTTTAACGCCGAGTCGACAATACTTTAGCCATTTATGGGCGATATTTTGTTCCATAGTGAAAAATACACATTTTTCCTATGAAAAATCTACATGGCTATAATTATACCAGGAGGAATTAATGTACGAAAAATTAACATTTTGTAAAGATGGGGTACAGATTGTACAAGTAAATTTAAACACAAAATAATGTCTTGTGCTTTATATTATAAGCTTGTCCAGCTGGATTTTATGGAGCAGAGTGCAACAGAACATGTTCAGTCAGATGTCAAGAAAAATCTTGTAATCACGTGACTGGTCATTGTTCAGGATGTATTTCAGGATGGATGGGATATGATTGCAATGAAAGTAAGATATAATAGTACTTTAGAATTTGACTAAATATGGGAGGATTGGTAAAGATTTGGGATTGGGTTTTCAAACAAAACCATCAATGTTAACAGAATTATCAAAATTATTGAGCCGTCTCTAGGCACTATAAGAAAGTTTCCTCTCCAAGTGAATAATGCAGGTTAGCTTAAAGTAATATACGCTATAACGTGCGCCATTTTAAAATACGGCTGGAAATTTATATATTTTGTTTACCAATAAAAGTTACGAAAATGCTGTAAATTACACCATTTAAATAAAATTCGTTATAAAGTTATCAAATTAAAATTATTTATTATCCTGCAAGGAGAATAATGTCTATTTTTAAGTAAATCCACCACGTGACGCCGTCGCTACTTTTAGATTGATAAACAAACACGGCGTCAAGAAAACTAGGTAAGCCCTTTGAGATACAACTCACTTTTGACATGGATGGCGTGTTACTATTAATATAACTTATCTTTAAATGTAATCAGTATCAAAAATCTATACTCTGTTATGACGCATATTATCCTTTTATTAATAATCGTTGTCAAAATGCAATGTGCCTCGTTGTCTATAATTTCCCGTGGACATACTGTCTATATTTAGACCTACTGTTTACGCACTTCCTTTATCAATATTCATGAAAAGACTGAATTCTTGATTGCAGATATTGCTTTATTGTTCTGTTATTACAACGAGTTTTATAGTTAAATTTTGTGGAAATATTATTTTTTCATTACACTCTATGTGTTTCAAATCATTTAATCATTTTGTTTCACATACAAATCGGCATCCATACGGCGTATATTACTTTAAAATATGATATATTTGTAAGGAAAGGGTTAGTAAAATGTTATTCATTTTCTTCAATAATCTATTTTGATTTACCCTACCATTATCCTGGAATAAAATGATTGAAGATAATCATTGTCATGAAGTGAAAAAAATATACAGTGTTTTTATTTATTTTTAAAAATTAATATTAATAATTATCGTTTAAAATATTTGAAAGTGAGTTTTAATCTAAAATGTATGGAATACTGTTGGAGTAAATTAGGCGTGCCTGTAACGGAAAATGAGTGAATTTTGTTTTATAGGATGTAGGTATGGGACATACGGAGAAAATTGTAAAAGGAATTGTAGCGGAAACTGTGCAAACCAGGAGGATTGTAACAAAGAGAGCGGAGATTGCAATGCAGGGTGTGTACGGGGTTATAGAGGCTCTAAATGTGAAGAAGGTAATAAGCAAAACTTCATTGTATAATCCGGATAACTGTATTTTTCTTATGTGCTTTGATAAAACAAAGCAAACATACCCAACATAAATTGTTGTCTTAATGATGGTTAGAAAAAAGTATTTCGACAGCAATATATCTTTTTATCATTTCATCTTAACCAAAAAAATTATACAAACTATTATTTTTTTTATAAAAAACCTTGCTTACGAATTGTATTAGTCTATAATTACCTAAAGGAAGCTTCACAAACTTTAAAAAATGGGTTATCTGTATTAAAAATCTTCGTTTAAAGGGTCTTTAAAAGAATATATTTTATATATATGTACAGCAGAAAACTGCTTCATGAATGGTTTCATCATATATAATTTTTGAAATCAATTTTCATTCACTACATGTATTTCTTTTGCAGAATGTGATTTTGGTACTTATGGTGCTAATTGTACAAATCTCTGCAGTGGAAACTGCTTCGAAAATAAAACCTGTAATAAGGTTTATGGAGAATGTATGGATGGATGTAGGGAAGGGTTTAAGGGAACTTTATGTAATGAAAGTAAGTGTCATAAAATTATATTATGTTGTAGTTCTAAATGCTTTGAAATAGCATGCATTGATGCAATCAAATCATGACATAATTGTCTTCCTCATCAATGCATGTTATCTTGTTCAAGGTAGTCAAGAATAGTCAGATAAATTTAGTACATATAGTTTAAATAAAGATAACCCTTGATCTAAAGGATACATTTGTGTAAGATTTAAGAAGACTGATGGTCAACAAATTATTCATCAGATAAAACTTATTTTTTCTTTATATAATATCTTAAGCTGTCAACTATCATTTGGCAAAGAAAAATGCCATACAGTTTAGTTTAATTTGATCATATTTAGCTCACCTGAGCCGAAGGCTCAAGTGAGCTTTTCTGATCACATTTTGTCCGTCGTCCGTCCGTCTACTGTCTGTCCATCTAGCTGTCTGTCTGTCCGTCTGTAAACTTTCACATTTTCGACTTCTTCTCAAGAATCATTGGGCCAATTTTGACCAAACTTGGTACATAGCATCCTCGGATGAAGGGGAATTTAAATTGTTGTAATAAAGGGTCAAGTCCCCTCACAAGGGGAGATGATCAAGAAAAGACAAAAATAGGGTGGGATCATAAAAAAATCTTCTTCTAAATAACCACTGGGCCAGAAAAGCTGAAACTTATGTAGAAGCATTCTGGGGTAGTGTAGATTCTAAATTGTTCAAATTATGACCCCCAAGGGAAGGGCGGAGCCACAATGGGGAATCAAAATTTTACATAGAAATATATAGGAAAAATCTTTGAAAATCTTCTTCTCAAGAACCACTGGGCCAGAAAAGCTGAAACTTATGTGGAAGCATCCTGGGGTAGTGTAAATTCTAAATTGTTCAAATCATGACCTCTGGGGGAATGGCGGGACCACAATGGGGAATCAAAGTTTTACATAGAAATATATAGGAAAAATCTTTGAAAATCTTTTTCTCAAGAACCACTGGGCCGGAAAAGCTGAAACTTATGTGGAAGCATCTTGGGGTAGTGTAGATTCTAAATTGTTCAAATCATGACCCCCGGGGGTAGGGCGGGGCCACAATGGGGAATCAAAGTTTTACATAGAAATATATAGGAAAAATCTTTGAAAATCTTCTTCTCAAGAAAAGCTGAAACTTATGTACACATGGAAGCATCCTGGGGTAGTGTAGATTTCAAAATGTCTTTATTATGATCAGTGGGGTAGGTTGGGGTTGCATTATGTATTAAAAGGGGAAAATCTGGTAAAGAACAGAATGGTCAAAGCTTCTCAGCTGAGCGATGTGGCCCATGGGCCTCTTGTTGCATATTTTTATATGGAACTATAAACTAAGGGAGATCAATATTGTCTAGAAAAGGTCACCATCACCAAGCACTTTTCAAGTTGAAAGATTGATTGATGGAATGTTGCCATAAGTCCCTTCGAGATTTTTTTTACTTAAATAGAGAGGTCACCGTAAATATATGCCGTTGAAGTGCTACAAGTTTAGAACTATACTCAGCACTCAGAGCCATTAAGCATTGCATTAAGGGTTCTCGAACATGAACCGTAATATGGGCCATGGGTTTTTTATTTTTCATACAAAAACTCGTGCAATTCACTTTTAATGCAGTGTGGTTGACAAAGGAATGGTCACTATCTGTGTTTACATCTTAGGTTGAAAAAGAGGTGGCAAACAAAAAAAATTAACCTGGCCTACCGATCGAAGAGACTATCTCCATACTTTTTCATACCATAGGTTACCATTACCGGTCTACTTGGACGAAAGCTGAAAAGTGAAAAAATATGTCTAACCTTTTGGTTTTGATATTCATTCTGATCTTTTATTCTCACATCAAGCTTGTGAACATGGCACATTCGGATCAAACTGTTCTGGGTTATGCAGCTTGCACTGTGTGAACAGTTCTTGTAATCACGTATCTGGATCCTGTGATAATGGTTGCAATCCAGGATGGAGGAATGACAAATGCCATGAAAGTAATTAATTTGATTCATAATATGTTCGATTAAACAAGAGCAGTATATATTCATATGCTATACTAACTGATATTTTGATAATAGTTTTAAGTTAAAAAAGAATAATAACCTATTTATGTTCAGATTAAATTTACTTCTAATTTTTAGGTCACCCGAGTAACTTAGGTAACCTATTGCTATCCGTTTTCGTCCGTCGTCGTGCGTCATGTATTAATATTTGAATGTAATGAGTATTGAGTCCTCCACCAAAATTGTGAAATTCATGGTCCCAGGCTGAGGGTAAGCGGTTCTAGTGCTAAGGTGGGGCTTTATAAGTTATATAGTGAAAATGCATTATTTCTTTGAAAATCTTCTTCTGTGCTCCTGGGCATTAAGTAAACTAACTAAGTAGATAGTTATGATGAGCAAAAGTGCCTCTTCCAGAATTGTGAATTTTATGGCCCCAGGGTCAGGGGTACTGGTGTTAGGTTGGGTCTCTTTTTATTATATAGTGAAAATACATGAACTCTTTGAAAATCTTCTTCTCTGCTTCTGGGTAATAAACAAATTAACTAAGTACATTCATAGTTATGATGTGCAAGAGTGCCTCTTCCAAAACCGTCAATTTATGGCCCCAGCGTCATGGGTTCTGGTATCAGGGCGGGGCTCTATTGATTATATTGTGACAATGCATTTATTCTTTGAAAATCTTCTTCTCTCATTCTGGGTATTACATAAATTAACTGAGTACAAAGTCATGATGAGCAAGAGTGCCTCTTCTAAAATTGTAAATTTTATGGCCCCAGAGTGAAGGGTTCTGGTGTTAGGGCGGGGCTCTATTGATCATATAGTGAAAATGCATTTATTCTTTGAAAATCTTCTGTTTCTGGGAATTAAATAAACTAAGGACATAGTTATGATGAGCAAGAGTGCCTCTTCCAAAAATTGTGAATTTTATGGCCCCAGGATCAAGGGTTCTGGTATTAGGGTGGGGCTCTATTGATTATATAGTGAAAATGCATTAATTCTTTGAAAATCTTTTCCTTTGCTCCTGGGTTTTATGCCAATGATCCAAGTATATATATATATATATATATATATATATATATATATATATATATATATATATATATATATATATATATATATATATATATGATGAAGAATGGTGCATATGTATCCCCCTGGGTCGGGGGATACATATTCTGAAAATAAATAAATGCTTTGAAATCTGCTCATTGGTATTAATCAACCATTTTATAATAAAATTTGCAAAATGTTCAAATATGTGACCCAAGGGTTAGTGGTTCCTTTGGGGTGATGTGCATAACTGGTTATAAAGTGGAGGTGCATTTTCTCTTTGTTACTTTGATCTACCTCTTGGTATTAAAGGTACTTGGACACAGATTTGAAGTCAATATTTTCTCTATAATATTATTACTTATTACTGTTATTACTAAACCCGCCAAAAAATTTGAAATGTTAATATCTTTTTTTATGAAAAAAGATTTTTAATTAATTTTTGTGTGAAATGCTATTACAATGTATGAGTCCTAATATTATAGAGAAAATGATAACTTCAAGTCTGTGTCTAAGTACCTTTAAGTAAATAGAGTAAAATGCTAAGTTTATAATTATAATAAGCAATGGTGCCTCTTTCAAAATTGTGAATTTCATGGCCTCTGGTTTAAAACACGAATCAAATTTAAATGTTTGTATGTTGTTGCCTAATACTCAGGTGAATTATAAGGCCCGTGGGGAGTCGAAGGACAGTGTAGTAATTTGATTGAATATGCTGATCTATTTTTTTAATTGTATGAAGAATGTAGCCATGGAAAGTTTGGTAAAATGTGTAAAGAGGATTGCAGTGGAAATTGTTTAAACAATGAAACTTGTTTTCACACAAACGGTCATTGTTTGATGGGATGTGAGGCGGGATTTCAAGGCAAGAAATGTGACGCACGTAAGTTAACTTTTCATTCGGAACACCAGGCTTATTGTTTCTCATGTTGCAATTTATCAATAAGTAAGCGAAACATTCGCATCATTGCTTCGATGTTTGACACTTATTGATTAGATTTATTTATCTATTGGTATTTTTAGATTGTGAATCGGGATACTTCGGTAAAAATTGTTTGTCGAAGTGTTCTCTAAATTGTCATGATGATTGTGATACTATAAAAGGACAATGCCGATGCAAGAAAGGGTGGACTGATAGAAATTGTTCCCAAAGTATGTTTCACAAATATATTATTTTATGCTTCCCATGCAAAGACCTCTTTGCTTAATTTTTTTTTAAATTCAGTTTTACAAAACATGTACATGTGATTATTATAATATTTATAGTGTGCTCTGGTTCTTATGGTCACAATTGTGAAGAACCGTGCAGTTCACACTGTCTGAAGAACGAGACTTGTGATATTATAAATGGAAGTTGTCCTTATGGCTGTCAAGAGGAATATGAGGGTGATACATGTAAGCAACGAAAAGGTAATTCTACTAATGATTTCATCAATATTTGAGTGATTTATTCGAAGTAGTACTCTACACCCCCTATAATGTTTAAGTTAATTGTATTTACAATATGAAATATAATGCATGCACATTAAGTTTAATTTATTTTGCATACAAACTGTCAGTTCGCAGGTTAGCAGTCAAATATATATAACACCTCCTTGAATATCAATATTACGAATAACATTAAAAGGGCACAATGAGTCAAAATCATGTCTTTCTTTTAAGCTATCTGTAGCATACAGAGAAAGACTTATGAAAATTATGCGTATACGAGCTTAGATATGACACTTAAACTGCAAGAAAAAACTGCACGATATAAGTGCCGGAAAAACAAAGGTTGTAAGTACCGTTTCGTTGTTTTCGTGTTTGTGAAGGTCACGCCATTTTTATTTTTAGCCTTACTTGTAAAAACATTTAACTGGAACATGCAAAGGTAGAAATATATTCTAACAACGTTTTAAAAAATCGTCTCTAAATTTTTGGTCCACTTACATTCATTCCTGGGTATTCGAGACCATGGTAACTATGGAAACTTATTCAACTTTTCTGCGCACGCGTACAGTGGTGTGTAAGAAGTATTGAGCAATATTTTCGGTCTGGGGCATACAAAAACTATTTTTACTTTTATTTTTCTCCTTAAAAATAGAATTTTTAAGTTCTGAAACCTGTAATTTTCTTAAACCTAATACTTTTAGGAATTGAACGAAATTAACAAGGGTCATGCAAAAATTCTACATTTGTCAATTTTCCCCTTTATGCGTCACAATGCCGCTTTAACTAACCTCGGGTAAAATATAAACTAGTATTTTTGACATGTATTTATTTATCTGGTAGATAAAATTATGTTACAGGATCGGCGTTAAAGACATCTGAGACGAATGCAGGAAATGTCACATACGGCGTGGTCAGTGGTGTTGTAGCGGTGGTTGTTATAGTCCTGGTAGTTGTGGTGGTATTCATATGGCAAGGATTCTTTTAATGTATTAGCTAGTTAATAAACGTTGTAATCTTAATTTTGCACATAATCATGTTTCGTTTTCTCCGATAATAATCGTCATTAAATAACATGTTAAAATAGTTTTTTCTTACTATAAAGGAGACGAAAAGCGAGATCCGTAACAAAGAAAAATGACGGAAGTCAACAAAGTTTGGAATTCGTTGTACACAACACTCATGAAGATAAACTAACACATGGTATTTATATTAAGATCTTAATTTTTTTTTTGTTTTAAGTGTAATCAAACAATGCCTTATTTCTAATTGAAAACAAAAATGATACTTAAGATTCAGAAAGAAATACAATTCATACTTTTATGTAATTTATATTATATAAATCATTCGACGTTAAGGAAAGTGAAATTGGGAGCGGAAAGTGCATTTTCTTAATATACAGATTTTTTTATTAGAAGAAGATGAAATACATTCAAACAAAAATGAGATGCCCAAAAGGACTAAACTTATCAAAAAACAAGGGTGTATTCAAATAAAAGATCTATGGACAACAATAAGGAAATTGTCACTTCAGGGAAATGCAGGGTTCACAGAAGAGTATATGGTATGTGGCAACGCACTTTGAAAAAATTACACACTTTAAAAAAAATTTCAAAGTGCGTTAAAATTGGGACAAAATCAACGCACTTTGAAAATTTTTTCAAACTGCGTTAAATTTGGGACCAACTCAACGCACTTTGAAAAGATTTTTCAAAGTTCGTTAAGAGTCTACATCAATATATTTTACCATGGAGACACTTAACGCACTTTGAAAAAAAAATCATATTTTAGTCATGGAAAGATTTTATTTGTTATTTATCTTTCAAAAAACTAAGCCTAACCCTAACCTCAAAAATGAATTGATTTACTCCCGTCGAAAAGAGGAGAAGACGGGTATAAGATCCCTCAGTTCAAATCTTTATCATTCCAATACATAGGTTTCGGTAACAAACGGGGGAGGGGAGCAATAAACCTAAAAAGGGTACGCTGCATTTTCAATGCTTATACGATGTATATATCTTTCCAAAATAAGCGGGGGGCTTAGCCCCCCCCCCCTCCACTCCCCTGGCCCTTCGCCCAGTCTCGATGTCTATGCTATACTCAAATCATTCATATAATTATGTATTTACCTTAATTTTTTTTTCAAAGTGCGTTATCTTGGTCCCAAATTTTAACGCACTTTGAAAAAAAATTTCAAAGTGCGTAGTTTTTCAAAGTGCGTTGTAACAATGGTATTAAGGCTAAAAAAAAGTTTAGTTTTAAATTTATAGTCATGATAACTTAAGCTACACAAAAGATTAAATTAAATCATAAAGATAGTTCATCTAGAATATAAATCAATTTGTTTAATGTTTTCTTTTATTTTTAAATTGCTATTACACATTACGTATTTTATTTTTATCAGGGAATGTATTTAATTACCTTTTACAAATTTGTTTTTTACCTGTTATTTAGGAGATTCCAAAGGGTGAATTACATCCATGTGAAGTTGGTCAAAGAGAAGAAAACAAAGACAAGAACAGATACACGACGACATTTCCCTGTAAGAAATTAGGACCTTATCAATACAAAAAAAAACTAAAATAAAAAAAAATATGTTATTATAATTTTGAAGACGACCTTGTTTACAATTTGTTGGCTATAACATTAAGGCTTTTATCTCTTCCAAAAAAATTATTGAGAAGATTTTTAAAGAGAGAAGTAATACTTTTTGTATTACTGTAAATAACTCTTTATTTGCGAGAACTTTATTTTCGCGTACTTACGCGAGACAGTGTGCTCGCGAAAATTTAATTCTCGCGTATAATAGTTTCCTTAAGATTAAATAGAGCAATAACCACAACTCGTGAAAATTTTGTCTCGCTAATCAAGAGTCAATGACTTTCTCGCCAAAATAAGGTGTTGCGAAAATTTAGTGATTTACAGTATTTGTTCATATGCGAAGTCACATAATCACAAGGTTTTCTTTTTAGATAAAGCAGTTTACAATATTAAAATAGCACACAAAAAAAGAAAAAATTTTACTGTTGAATTTTAATGAAACAATTTTTTTCATGAAAATGAAGGTGAAACTGGAAATCAAAACCAATTCAAAATTAAGAAAGAAATATTGCGTATAACCTATTTATGTCTCATTCATTCTAGACGATCATACTCGTATCATTCTACAAGAATCTAACAAGAACGACGGTTATATCAATGCTAACTACATCAAGGTAAATTAATTACTATATGAACAGACTTTTACTCATGTCAAGTAAAAATAAAGAGGAATTGTTTTTAATTGACCAATTACATGATTTTTTTTTAGTATGGAGAAAAACAATCAAAATGAAATTAATTTGTTAATTCTAACCGAGTTTAAGACAATGGCTTTTTTTCTCGACAGGGCTAAGACTAAAATAGGTGTCGGGTAAATATTTTAAAAGAGAATTTGTGCATGCATAGCCATTTACTCTTTTTCTTTCCTAAGAAATGATATAATATAAATCAAACATGGTAATTTCATACATTATTAATCAAGAAAGGCAATGTTTAAGTACTCTTTCCCTATGATGTGCATGCTTGATACTTATGGTAATTTCATCTTTTCCACCTATTTTTTCACAATTACATGTACCATGATACTAAAAATACATACATTATATTTGCATTAAGGAATGGGACTCATCAGAGTGGAAAAAAATTCCCAAAACATGTATTATAATACCTTAACTGTCCTGAGTCGTTTTTTTAACCAATTCCCAAAAGCGATTTACCTTTAAGATTTTATTATATAAATTCTGTATACATAATTTTCGTAATTTACTTCTTTTACACCTCAGAAAGTTATTTCAAGATTCACTTTTTCAAATAATGTAGACTTCATGAGCATTAATGTAAAATTAATATGTTCAAATATATGTATATATTTTCTTATTTTCTTTTATCTCTGTAGAATTGTTGTACCTTTGGTACTCAAAAAATTGATAATTAATTCCCATTTATTTATAAATAGGACCTTTGTGGAGAAAAGAAATATATTGCTACTCAAGGTAAGATAAATTCTATATACATGCTTTTGAAAATCATTCCTAATAAGTAATACAACGTTATATTCCAAATTTCCCTGTCGTCGACATACATTTCATCATGTTCAACCTCTTCAAATACCTAGTGTAAAAGTTATTGTTCCTTGAACGAAATTGCTGCTTGTTTTATCAGTGTTATATGTCCAAGGGTTTCAGTAACTACCAGTAATTATACCCGCACTTTCTAAAGAAAGTTCGGGTATATTGTTGTTACTCATGTCCGTCCGTCCGTCCGTCCGTCCGTCTGTCACACTTTTCTTCCCTGAACTCCTCCTACATTTTACACAGTAGCTTAATCATCTTTTGGGAGATGGTTGGTGGTGTCATGTAGATGTGCAGTAAAGTTTCGGAATTTTGATTTTGCCCCGGGGGGTCAAATGGGGGTCGAAAAATGATGTTTTTTTGTGCAAAAAGTCCCGTCTTCCCTGAACTCCTTCTACATTTTACTCAGCAGCCTAATCACCTTTTGGGGGATGATTGGTGGTGTCATGTAGATGTGCAGTAAGGTTTCGGAATTTTGATTTTGCCCCAGGGGGTCAAATGGGGGTCGAAAAATGACGTTTTTTTATGCAAAAAGCCCCATCTTCCCTGAACTCCTCTTACATTTTACTCAGTAGCCTAATCATCTTTTGGGGGATGATTGGTGGTGTCATGTAGATGTGCAGTAAGGTTTCGGAATTTTGATTTTGCCCCAGGGGGTCAAATGGGGGTAAAAAAAATGACGTTTTTTATGCAAAACGCCCCGTCTTCCCTGAACTTCTCCTACATTTTGCACAGTAGCCTGATCATCTTTTGGGAGATGGTTGGTGGTGTCAGGTAGATGGGCAGTAAGGTTTTGGAATTTAGATTTTGCCCCAGGGGTCAAATGGGGGTCGAAAAATAACGTTTTTTATGCAAAAAGCCCTGTTTTCCCTGAACTCCTCTTACATTTTACTCAGCAGCCTAATCATCTTTTGGGAGATGGTTGGTTGTGTCATGTAGATGTGCAGTAAGGTTTCGGAATTTTGATTTTGCCCTGGGGGGTCAAATGGGGGTCGAAAAATGATGTTTTTTATGCTAAAAGCCCCGTCTTCTCTGAACTCCTCTTACATTTTACTCAGCAGCCTAATCACCTTTTGGGAGATGGTTGGTGGTGTCATGTAAATGTGCAGTAAGGTTTCTGAATTTTGATTTTGCCCCAGGGGTTTAAATGGGGGTCAAAAAATGACGTTTTTTATGCAAAAAGCCCCGTCTTCCCTGAACTTCTCCTACATTTTACACAGTAGCCTAATCATCTTTTGGGAGATGGTTGGTGGTGTCAGGTAGATGTGCAGTAAGGTTTTGGAATTTAGATTTTGCCGCGGGGGGTCAAATGTGGGTCGAAAAATGACGTTTTTTGTGCAAAAAGCCCTGTCTTCCCTGAAGTCTTCCTTAATGTTCCTCAGAAGCCTAATCATCTTTTAGGAGAGTTAAATATTTTGAAAATTATGTAAAACATCAACGTCAAGGGGTAAAAAAGCATCGCATGCTGGGAAACACCTTGAATTCTTAAGAGTAATTAATGTACATGTCAAATGTGAGAGTCATATCTGATCTCAATCAAAAGTTATAAGCAAATGCAACATTTTTGAAAAGTAGGTTAGGCTTGACCGCTTCAAGGTCAAGGTCACAGAGTAAAAGTCATGATTTATTTGGAAAGGTCTTATCACAGGTAATAATATACATGCATTATGATATGAATGCCCTAACTTTTCTCTTTCAAAATGATGAATTTATAACAATTTAATTTTTTTGCAAGTAGGTCAAACTTCTAGGTCACGTTAAAAAAAAAACCCATGCCATTCTCACAGGTAAATACTAATACATAAGTTTAATATGAATGTCTCTTCTCATTCAGTAGATATGACCGTGATGACCATGCAAGGTTAAATTTATTGAGACAGATGGACAGTCTGACATACAAATGTACATATTTCTATATGAATTGGGTAAAATTGGCCCAGTGGTTCTAGAGAAGTTCAAAATGTAAAAAGTTTTCAGACAAACAGATGGACGATACGTCACGACAGACGTTATATGCTAAGGAAACCAGAAAAGCTCAAATGAGTGTTTTGAAAGGGTTACAATATGGTTGCAGTATTTGAAAAGCTGTTTTTTTCATGCAGAGATATGCATGACCAACATTTTCATGTTTTATATTTTCTCTAGTAATTTGTTTGTTTGTTGTGAATACATCTCTCTTGGGAATTTTTCCCTCATATGGTGACACCACCAAATAATAATGAAGACAAAATGTGTTTGTGAAACACTGATGTCCCTGTATGGAAGCCTATGGCGAAGGTTGAAGTGTTAATATCAGAAGAAAGTCTTGTCACAAGGAAAGCACATGTGAAATAAAGAAATCCCTAGTAATTCCTGTTCAAAAGTTAATTGCCAAGGTTAATTTTTTTTAAGTGGTTCAAACTCTAGGGTCAAGGTCAAACATATTTATACCTGTTGACAGTTCACAATGAATACACATGTTAAGCATTAAAGCCCTAGCACCTACTGATCAAAATTTAGGCCAAGTTTAAAGTTTGGTATTTTTCTTGTAAAAATGTGTATCCTAGGTCAAGCGATCAGAGGTAAAAATTAATGGTACCCAAATAAAAGGTCTTAATTGTCACAAGGAAATAAACCTATAAAATGTGGAAGCCATTTATATAGCCCATCCCAGTTAAAACTTATGGGCAAGGTTATAATTTAGACAGATATAATATAAACACAAGAAACAAAATATGTATAATTAGTCAAATGGAAAAAAAATATACTATTTAATTGGAATCACAAAATAGATTGTTATTTCAGGGACAGGGAGTGGGTAGGGAGATTGGAATCCCCCCATCCCCCCCCCCCTGGAATTTGCTTTGTTATCTAAACAAGACTATATACTGAAGCAAATAAAAACTGACTTTGGACATACTCCCCCTAACTTAGAAAACATTGACCACACTATCATTGTTTTTATTTTGTTTATTTGTTTTCAGTTTTTTTTCTCCTGCTTGTCAGGAAATTCTGGGCTGGAATTTTTTGACTGAGATGTGAACCCCCCTCCCTACTCCTGAAAAAAAATTCTGGATCCGCACCAGTATTGGCAGTAACTGAATGTCACATCGACAACGGGAGATAACTTCACAATATGAAATTCGTCTAGTGTGGCATGCGATGATCTTTGACCCTTTTTGAACTTTAACCTAATCGTTTGGGTTTATTTTACCCCCCACTATACTTAAACTTGTACTTACCAACTACCACAGGTCTCGTCAACTTCATGAAATATAAATCCAATTATAACACAAAATGAATTAATCCAATGCACACCAGACTGCAGCCATGTGCTAATTCCATTTGACACACCTCGGCCGATTCCGTCACCTTATCAGATGAAGTGGGAATCGGCCGAGGTGTGCCAAATGGTGTTTAATCTAAAAATATGATAATGGGTGACGCAACGTGATGTGATGTAGAAATTTACATGTTAACATGTATAGTACAAGAACAAATTTTAAATTAATCCATAAAACGATGTTTTAACAAAACTTTTCCATCTAGCCTATTCCAAAAAGTATGTGCTGTGTGATTGTAGTGTCGAGGGGGGGGGGATTAGTAAATTTAAAAAGGTCCTATTATGAGCAAAACATTTATCAAAATCTGATTTACATCATTAATAGAATTCAAACTGGTATATAATGAATTAAGTATGTAAAATAAATATAAGAAGTTCTGAGTTATAGGTCACAGGGTCCGAGAATTTCATACTCAATTTGATGAATACATGTAAATTATAGAATTATTTTGACTTTTTCCTTGGAAAGCCGCCCAATATGTAGGAGCGTGTATTTAGAGGCAAACACCTTAGTGCGGGTATTACTGTCTCATGACAGCATCTAGTTAAAATTGAAATCGAAACTACATATTTTTACGTTTAAGCTCTTTTCAGTATAATAAACAATTTATTGCATAAATGTGAAGAAACATAAAGATTAATTCAGGCAAGAAAAAGCATATAGCCCTTAAATTGTTTAAAATTTATTTGTGTATTAACAACTCTCGATCTTCCTTTTAAACAGGTCCAAGAAAGAAAACAATTATTGACTTTTGGGAAATGGTATGGCAAGAAGCAGTTACAACGATTGTTTGCTTGACAAACCTTAAAGAGGGGACAAAGGTTTGTAAACAATATGATTGATTAATTTGAATTATGGATTTCAAGATACATTAAAAACTGTTACATAAAAAATAAAGCACCCTTCATGTCCTTAAAAGATAAGGTTACCACTTCGCTCTTCTATATAAAGCATATATACCTTACTCTACAGGTACATCTCTGATAAGATTCTGAGAGATGACCAAACCCTACTTGTGTTTCTCGATTGTACACTTATATAGGATCATAATTACCTGTTTTCTAAATATGTTTTCCATTGAACTATATTCAACTTGAAAATACCAATGTTTACAAAAAAGGTTAAATTATTGATGCGTGAAGGTTTTCAAACTGTTTTAGTTTTGCTTTTTTACCATTATGTTACATGTACATATGTAATTGTCCTGGCACATCAGCCGAAGTGTACAATAACACTGAAATCGTACTTTTATCAAACTTAATTTTGAATTTATATGAGGCAGAATTTATCAAAATGTCTAAACAAAGAATAATTGAAAGACCTGTGTACCTTAAGTCAACATTTATACATATCCACGACATATAATCAATTAGGATTCGTTGTGAGTTTTTGTGTTAGTTTAGCTTTAAATCCTTATATAAACGCGATGCCTTCAACATTTATTTCTCTCACTAATGTAGTGATATACCATTCGACCCTATATGTTTTTCAATTTCAGCTGTAGATATGCAAAAACATGTTCTACATATTGAACAATTTCCAAAACGAGGCAAACTTTTAACAAACAAGTTGATCGAACGAGCTTATCAGCTGTATCTTTTCAGTATTCATTCCGCAAATCATGGTCGATAAAACTTTGCCAGAACACAATTAATCATAAGGTCGGTGCCAACTGAATTTTTATCATACCAATTCTTAAGCTTTTATTTACGCACTGAATTGTCAAAAAAATTCTGTTTAGTAAACCCAATCATGACAAGTATGATATGGTACATGGATGTGACCTGTCAAAAGGATAGCTTATTCTTTCATGGCACCTGATCCGACCTCTAAGGTTGTATATGTTCATGTTTGATCTGGTCCTCATTTGTATTGTTTCAATGGACATTTGACTTTGATTACTGTTCGCTTTCCTCCATATTTGGTTTATAATATTGATCGATTTAGTGTTTTGATTCTCCAGTACAGTTGGGTCTTTCAAGTATATAATTATTTTCAACAACCCTTCTAAATTCCTGATTAATTGCTATTTGTTTATTTATGAATTTTCATTTCTAATAATAGGAAAAATGTAAACAATATTGGCCAAACAACAGTGAGAAAATCCAACATGGACATTTTACCATTCGAAGCAATGAAGAAAAGACCTATGCAAATTATGTGACGAGGAAGTTCCATGTGCAAAATATTGCTGTAAGTCTCCTTACTTAAGTTTCGCTATTTTAGTGTACATATTTTACTTACTAAAACATTAAACGTAAACCGCATGATTACCATAAAAACACTTGACTTAAGGTATAATGAATCTCGAGCTCACCTTTTTTCTGACTTTCATTGCTCTCTTTCTTTCTGGATGCAGGAACACAAAGAACGAGACGTGAGGATGTTTCACTATACCCAGTGGCCAGATCATGGGGTCCCTGAAGCTATAAACCTTGTCATTTTCCATCAGCATTTCTTGAGATCGGTTTCAGGGAATTCTATTCAACCTAAACTTTTAGTACACTGCAGGTTAGAGAAAAATTATTTCACAAAA